GTGGTGGTCCTGCAGAAGGGAGAGCCGTACACTGAGAGGAGCAGCTGAATGCAGGGTGCTGTGGGGCGTGCTGGGGTGTGTGATGGTCCTGCAGAGGGGACTGTGGTACACTGAGAGAAGCAGCTGAATGCTGGGAGCTGCAAGGAGTAATCCCAGCTGTGATCGAGGTTTACATGAGAAAGCAGGGACCATGTATCTTTAGAGGCCATGACTCAAAGTTCCTTCTCATCAACACTTCACCCCACTTACTACAGTTTGTGTAAGAATTGATAATTTTTACTTTTCTTAAGGACTAATACAGGGGTTTCCAACTTTTTATTTTTCCTCTGCTGCACATTGGAAGAATATGAGTTGTCATGGGCCACACATTAAATATATATACACTAATAAAAGCTGATTAGCCAAAAAAGGTTCCTGTATACTTTTCATGATAAGCAAATTAAGTCCTCACAAAATCAGCATGTGCCCGCAGGGTGGACACTCCTAGTCTAACATATACAAAAGGATTTCATCTACTGTCCAGTGATTACTTATTAGGACACAATTATTCGTACTAAGTGCCCCATGCATTCTCCTCTTAATTGTCATAGCCCTATGAAGAACAGACTGTTAAAATCCCCATTTTATATTTTAAGAAACAGAGGTTTAGGAAAGAAAAATTGTGTGTCTTTGAGGCCTATCCTCATAACCACAATGAGTGAATGGGCCTAAATATGTGTTAGACAGAAATAGTCCTTGACCTCAAACACTGTACATTCCAGAGTAGCAAAAGAGATGAGATGAATTTTTTTAAATTGTAAGATCAAAATAAATGTCATAACTGAAGTTTACATGAAATGTTAACAAAAGCTCAAAGAACTATTAATTTCAGTTGTGGAGATAAAGTTTTGGCTAGTGTCATTTTTGTTGCTTTTTTTGCTATTAAATCATAACTACATACATTGATGGATTTATGGGGTTCAATGTACTGATTTGATATAGAATGTGAAATGCTTACATCAAACTGATGTTAACACATCCATCACTTCGTTTACTTATTTGTTGTGGCAAGACAATTATACTCTTAATACTTTTAAAATGTACCATTGCATTATGCATGTTAGGTGAGGACCCCCAAATGCCCTCCCTCCTCCCAGCCTACTCCCTCTTCCCTCCTACTTTCTGGAATATAGTTATGTCTTATCATTTGTATGAATGTGTAGCTGATTATATATTGACTTCATAGTAATAGAGTACATTGGATACTTTCTTTTTCATTCTTGAGATACTTTACTATGAAGAATATGTTCCAGCTCCATCCAGGTAAACATAAAAAATGTGAATCCCATCTTTTTTATGGCTGCATAGTATTCCATGGTATACATATACCACAATTTGTTAATCCATTCATGTGTCAGTGGGCACTTGGGCTGTTTCCATGTCTTGGTAATTATGAACTGGGCTGCAACAAACATTCTGGTGCAAATGTCTTTGTTGTAAAGTGATTTTTGATCATCTGGGTATATACCTAGTACAGGAATTGCAGGATCAAATGGTAGGTCTACTTTTAGTTACTTGAGTATTCTACAAATTTCTTTCTAAAAAGGTCATATTAACTTGCATTCCCACCAGCAGTATAGAAGCATTCCCTTCTCTCCACATCCATGTCAACATTTATAGTTTTGGGACTTTGTGATGTGGGCTAATCTTACTGGAGTTAGATGATATCTCAAAGTGGTTTTGATTTGTATTTATCTGAGGATTTAAGATGATGAGTATTTTTTCATGTGTTTGTAGGCTATGCACCTGTTTTCTTTAGAGAAGTTTCTGTTCATGTCTCCTGCCCACATAGAAATGGGGTTATTTGTTCTTTTCTTATTGATTAGAGTTCTCTGTGGATTCTAGTTATCAGGTCTTTGTCTGAAGCATAACCTGCAAAAATCTTCTCCCATTCTGAGGGTTGTCTCTTTGCTTTACTTACTGTGCTCTTGGCTGTGCAGAGGCTTTTTAGTTTGATCAGATCCCAGTAATGTACTTTTGGTGTAGCTTCAATTGCCCAGGGGGGTGGGGGGCTCCTCATAAAATATTCTCCCAGGCTGATTTCTTCAAGTGTTTTCCCTGCACTCTCTTCTAGTATTTTTATAGTTTCATGTCTTACGTTTAAATCTTTTATCCAGTGAGAGAATCCATTTCTGTTAATGGTGAAAGGTGGTGGTTCAGTTTCAGACTTCTACAGGTTGTGAGCCAGTACATCCAGCACCATTTATTAAATAGGGGATCTTTCCCCCACTGAATATTTTTGATAGGCTTGTAAAAGAACAAATGATGATTAAGTAGTGGGGTTCATCTCTTGGTCTCTATTCTGTTCCATAAATCTACCTCTCTGTTTTTGTGCCAGTGCCATGCTGTTTTGATCACTATAGATTTGTAGTATAGCCTCAAGTCTGGTAACATGAAACCTCCTGATTTGTTTTTATTTCTGAGTAATGTATTGGCTACTTAA